GCCTGACATGGAGCAGGTGGGTCCTGGAGCGGTCCCTGGGGCCGGGGTGGGACAAAGACGGTCTCCGGCCGGCCGATCCCGCTGCCCTGCCGGTGTCCGTTCTGGGTTCCGTCCGACCCTCCCCACAACCCCCACGTTCCAGGTTCCGCCCCTCTCTCTGCTCGGCCTCGCCCCGCCCCGCCTCCCGCAGGGTCCGGGGTCTCCGGCACCGACCCTCGGCGGCCCCACCCATCCTAGGGAGCCGGAGAAGGGGGGCGTCTGGGATCGCCTTCCCAAGCCTCCGTCATAACTGTGAGGGGAGGGGACAGTATCTGGGTCTTCAGAGCAGGAATTGGGTACGGAAAGGGGTCAGGATCTGGGACGAGGAGGAAAACATCTGCGCGTTCGGGTAGGTCTGCGTCTGACTGTCACCCGACGGCTCCCCAGCTTCCTTGGGAAATGGCTGTGAACAACTTCCTAACTGATGTCGAAAGGGCCTTTTAAAGTCTCTTTCTTGCGTTCTTAGAGGTGCATAATATCATTGACGCTCAGCCTAAATGACACTTGCCTCCCCCCCAACCCGCCTTTTTTTTTGTCTTCAGTATCAGCATCTCCGGACTTTCCTCCTACCGTTCAGGCAGGAGGTCAGCGGCACCGCTTAACATTCTCTTCGCTTGCCAACCCGTCGCTCTGCGCGCTGAATCTGGATGGCATATATGTATATATTTTCCCATGACTTCACCTTTACACCAACTAAATACCCAGATCTGCAGTGTCAGCGCAGCCCTTGCCTGGAGCTCCAGACTTGGTCTTGCAGCTGCAAGTTAGACAGCTTTGCTTCTGATGAGTCTAAACCTGAACTGATCTTTCCTCTGCTACCGCATCCAGCCATTCCTCTTCTTCAATTCCTCTATCTTGGAAGTGACCTAGTCATACAGCTAATGTCCTAAACATCCTTCAAGCCTGGGTTCAATCCCCCATCCTCTGTTGCCACCCTGTTGGTGTGTGTCTTACCTGGATAACTGGAGTAGTTTCCTAGCAGTTTCTGGGCCTGGCTGCCTACAGTTCAGTCTCCAAACTGTCGACTCTGTTAATCCTTTTAGAACACAAGTCTGAAGGTGTCACTTCTTTGCTTATAACCCTCAGATGGCTTCCTAATGCCTATGAGAAAGGGCTGAACCCCCAGCACAATTGACAGAGCCCTCTGATCTCTTCCCTAGCAATCTCCTATGTGGATCCTCAGGTCCAGTAACATGGCACTGCAGAAGTCCCTTGCCCACACGTTGCTATTCATGTCCTTGTGCCTTTTACATACCAGCCCCTCTGCCTAGCAGCCCCCTTCTCCTCTTATCTGCAGGGCTACCTTCTGCATGCCTTTCAGGGTTCTGCTCAGACAGATATCTGCCTCCCCACACCCTAAGGCTAAATGCTCCTCTGTGTTCCCTTAGCACCCTGTTCATAATAGCATATAGGACAATACAGACTCCTTAGTCAGACTGCCTGGGATCTGATACCGGGTTTTGTAACCTTGACATAGTCAATTCCTCAATTTCCTCATTTGTGAAATGGAGATAGTAATGTGCCTACCTCATAGAATTGTTGGGTGGATTAAGTGAAAATACTGTATGTTTAGGGCTCAAAATAGTGCCAGGCACATGAATGTTCAAGATGTAAACGTTAGTTGGCCAGGCATGTTGGCTCATGCCTGTAATCCCAGTGCTTTGGGAGGCTGAGGTGGAAGGATTGCTTGAGGTCAGGATTTGAAAACTAGCCTAGGCAACATAGGGGAACCCTGTAGTTGTGACTACTCAGAGGTTAAGGCCAGAGTATCCCTCGAGCCCAGAAGTTTGAGGCTTATAGTGGACTATGATTGTGCGACTGCAGTCCAACCCAGGTGACAGCGAGACCCTGTCTCTACAATAAATAGATACGTGCATCTATGTTAGTTATTTTTTTAATTTATTTTTATTTTTTGAGTCAGATTCTCACTCTGTCACCCAGGCTGGAGGGCAGCCTTGACCACCACAGCCTCAACCTGCTGGGCTCGGGCAATCTTTCCACCTCAGCCTTCCAAGTAGCTGGAACCACAGGCATGTGCCACCACACTCAGCTAATTTTTTTGATTTGTTGTAGTGACGAGGTCTCTCCATGCAGTCCAGGCTGGTCTTGAACTTGTGGGCTCAGGCAAACCTCTCACCTTGGCCTCCCAAAGTGCTAGGATTGCAGGCGTGAGCCACCGCACTCAGTAGTTATTATTATTTATATAAGCATGATATAGCTGACCAGTTAAGATTTTTAATTTCATAAGCTTCCTGAGGACAGTTGATGTGACTTCCTCAATATCCAGTAGAGCCTGGCTCTTAGTCAATAAATAAAATAATAAGGTAAGGCACTGAAGGCAGGATCTGGATTTATCCAGCGAGGATTTAACAGTGAAAAAGGCCCAGATCTGATGTCAGTCTGCTCAGGAAAACCACTCTGGAAATTGAGTAAATGTTAAACAGTAAGCATTAATTCTAGAGAAATGTACACATAGCCCTGGGCAAGAAAGAGAGAGACTGGGGCGGCTTCTGAGGAGCTGGCAATTAGTAAGGGGCCTTAGAGTGGATGAGTTTACCAGAGGGAGGTAGAGGCTGGAGTGGGCTCAGAGAACAAAATGCTGGGTCTTCTGAATGGGGGTTGCAGGGGTGGGAGAGAATGGAGCTAAGTAAGACAGAGGCAGCTTCCTCTGCTGGGACTGGGAATTCCTTTCCTTACCCGGCCAGGAGCCAGCAGGATGTGCTCTCAAAACCTAGTAACTGGTATTCAGGGCCAGGCCCCTGGGTAGGGTCATTACACCTGTGTTTGGGCTGTGCCTTAGGACAGAGTTGGGTCTTTGTGCTTTTTTGCCTGCCTAAAATGTCACCCTCTAGCCTCCAGCTGATAGATGCTGATTCTTCAAGGCCTGGGTCAGATGACCCCCCCTCCCTGTGGTTCCCTGACCTCACCCACTCCAGCCCTTGTCAGAGGATCCCTTCTCTCTGAACCCATGGTCCTTTGTTCACACCTCCCTGAAAGCGATGATCACAGCATGGTACCGTGTATTATTTATCCATCAGTCTTTCTCGCCAGAGCTGGAGCTCCTGATGGGCCCTTGGAACATGCACAGCATCTAGGTGCTCATTGTCTGGGCTCTTGGTGCCTGTGAGCTCTTACACATCTGGACTTGTTGGGACTAAAACCCTGCATGTTTGGCAGCTTGCACTTGTTCCATTGAGTGGGAGAGCTTGTTGGCTCCATTTTACAGATGAGGAAGCTGAGATTCAGAGGAGGTAGGGTCAAGATCACTCAACATGGGTTTCAAGAACTGTCTCGCCGGGCTCGGTGGACCAGCCTGTAATCCCTCACTTAGGGAGGCTGAGGTGAGTGGATTGCCTGAGCCCGCAGGTTTGAGTCCCGCCTGGGCAACTTGGCGAGACCTCATCTCTACAATAAATCAAAAAATTAGCCAGGCGTGGTAGCACGCGCCTGTAGTTCCAGCTTGGAAGGCTGGGGCAGAAGGATTGCCTAAGCCCAGCAGGTTGAGGCTGCGGTGGCCGGGAGCGGCCACTGCACTCCAGTCTGGGCGACAGAATGAGACTCCAAAAAAAAAAAAAAAAAAAACTGTCTCCTGACTTCAAGTCTGCAGCTGTCTCCCAGAAGCTGCCTTGGGGTACCAGCCTCCAAGGGGGCAGCTGCCACACTAGGGACTAAGGACAAGGAGGACATCTCACCTGACCAGTTGTGTGTCCTTCGGAACTTTTTGTGGCTGGGAGGAAGCTAATCCTGGCTCTTGTTTGGCAGGGCTGGTGCTAAGAGGAGCCTGTGCTGAACCTACCCTCCCCACCCCCATCTTGTGGGGACCTTTCCTTGAGAGGGCTGACATCTCTCCCAGAAGATGACTGGCCCTTTCCAGACTGACCTTGGGAACATGACCTCATTGGTCCCAAGTTTACCCAACAACACTAAGGGATGGGGTGGGGCCTGATTCAGCAGCCCCTGCGTAGGCCAGGGGTCATGGACTCACAGAGCTAGGGGCATCCCTGACAATTAACAAGCTGGCATGGGAGGAAGGAGGGCTGAGCGGCTTTCAGTGTGTTAGGGCTTTCCAGTAAACTCTATGGGCAGGACCTCCCTGGCTGGGGAGGAGGAGTGTATGGTGATGAATCAAGTTTCTCTTCAGCTTAACTCTTCCCCTTCTGCTTCCCCAGAAGCAAAGAAGAAACAGAGCCAGGCTTGGGCTCTGAGATCTTACATGTCACTGCAGCTATGCCGTCTGCTCCTTAAACTCCAACTTCTCCAGGGACTTCTCAAACCCTTTGGGGGTGGGGTGGGAGCCAGTAGGCAACTGTCCCAAGGCTGATGGCATGGGTCACTGAACCCCAAATCACAGGAGAACCCAAAATGTGACATCCTAGGGCAGCTCCCTGAGGCCTTCCATCCAGCCGCACTGATGGGACCCTCCGTTTGGGCAAGGTGGTATGGTGCACATGCCTGAACAGGCTGTGGCTCTCACACTGCTCCCGTGGAGGGTAGGAACAGTAAGAGCTGCCGTTACTTAAGCACAGGCACTGTGCACGTGTTATTTCTCATGCCTTCAAGCTCTGTGAAGTTGGCACTCTACTCACCCCAATTTACAGATAAGAAGACTGAGGTTCAGAGAGACTCAGATTTGGTCAAGGGCACATAGCCTAGTAAGGACCAGTCTTGGATTTTTGATGCCCAACCCCCACACCCACACCTGTTCCCTTGTTCCAGCGTGGACATTACAGATTACATTATTAGCTCACTTGCTAGTCATGTACTATGGCCAGGCACTGTGACTTGGACCTCACGGGCTCGGAGAGATAGCATTGAGGCTCAAGGTTAGCTATGAAAAGGGAGTATTGACCCAGAACCCTGAAGGGTCAGGGCAGCATGGAAGGCAGGAGAAAGCTCTGTCTAGAGATGCTATTTGAACTTGAAGGGCTGGAGTTCTCCTCCGAGGGAGGGAATCATCCCAGAATGAAGAGTCAGGGA